TTGGACCTGATGGCCTTCTGGCCCCTTCCAACTCTACTGTTCTAGGCTTCTGTGAAATCTTCAGCCTTGTTTATAGCAAGCAGCGGGATAAAACAGTACAGTGAACTGCGACACAGAAAGCTGGATGCTACCGAGTCAGACTGTTGGTTCCCACAACTTGGTATTGTCTCCGCTGACTGACAGCTCCTCTCCAAGCTTTCAGACAGAAATCATTACTTCTAGAGAGGGCAGAAATCCAAGCAAATTGTCGGTTCCACCATCCTTCCTTATGTCAGACTGTGGGTGGGATGCCATTTTTAATCCATTTCAACATTTAAAAACTCTGTTCAGTTAGACAAACCTACCGACCACGCTCTAGCTCAGCCATGCTCTGCTGTGCTAGTTTTGTCTTTGCAGAATTTCCCCCCTATATAAGGAAACATTGCAATGTATGATTCCCTGCCTGCAGTTCTAAGCAGTACAATCCATTACTTCAACCACCTTTTTATTTAGATTCTACCTATTTTCCTGCAAGTGGCCCAGGGCAGCTTATATAATTTGCCACTTCTGCATTTTTTATTTTTTATTTTTGTTCAACATATATTCTGCTATACTGGTCTGAAGACTCTCTAAGTGGATTTTATCCTCACACCAACCCTGTGCATGTTGACCAGGTCATAATTGATATGATAATGAAGATTGCAAAGAAAGCATGTATGAAAGGCTTTGAACACTTAAAAATATGTAAATCTTGCAATTGCATGTTGCTGGGCAGGTAGGCCCATTTTGATGCATCTTACTGTTCTATTCAAGCATTCTAAGAGCAAGAGTAGGGAATGGCAGGCCGTGGAAATGCCTACTTTCTTGTCTATTTCTCTGTGCTGTGTGATTTTTCACCTGTAGTTTTTGAAACTTCATTGAGTCTGCTTTGGCTTGCTTCCTAGGTTCCATTTCTAAAATAAATAGAATTGTCTTGATCACTGGGATAATAGCTTGTTCTTATGTCTTCAGGTTCAACGGAAGACAATTGAGAAGGAGATGACTGAGCTTGGGCTTGACATGACTGACAAAAATGATGTAAGGGGAATTCTCTTCTATTTTTTGGTATTGATTTCTATGGGGAGATTATTTTTTTTTTTAAATGTCATTTGTTCTGCCTTTTTCTGTAGTAGGAAATGAAGCTAAGCTAAGGGAATGGATTAAATGGTTCAGATGGGGAATATTTGGGACTCTTTACTTGAAGGAAAAAGAAACCCTAACCAAGGGACATGATTGACATTTATAAAATTATACATGGTGTGGAGAAGGTGGACAGTGAAGATTTCTTCCTCTCACAGAACTAGAATGCCACTCGGTGAAGAGCTGATACTGGTCAAAAGCTGGACAGGCAAAAGTTAAACTCTGGAATTCGCTTATTTAAGATGACGTTAGATGAGTATTAGTCAGATTCATGGAAGATAAAGTTTTAGTGGTAACCAGTCATGAATGCTTGAAAATTGCTCAGGATGATGGTCTGATGCAGCATGATGGATCTTAGGTTCTTATGGCTGTCCCTTGCTTTTGGGGTCAAAGAGACCATACTATTCTGTGAATACAAGTTCCCAGGAGACAGTGATAGGAAAAGGTTGTTGCCTCTGTGGGTGCAGAAATGCGACTGGCCTCTTTTCTGCTCCAGCTGGGCTCATCTTATGTTTTATTGCTATTCTTGCTATTTTAGGCATTGTAAAGTTGGTTGTTCTATTAGCTGAATTAAGCAGGTTTTTTTTAAAGCAAATGCTATGCCATATCCCAGAGTCTGATCAATTGAGTACCAGTTTAGAAGGCTTCTGATTGGATTTTTCTTGATCTGTGAATTTCCAGGCACATTATGTAGCCCAGACCAGACGATCCCGCAGTGTAACTCGCAAACGTAAACGAGAAGAATCTGTACCACCCACATCTGTGGCGCGAAGTCGTAGCTCCTCCCGTACGCCTCGTGATGTATCTGGTCTTCGAGATATAAAGGTCTGACTCACTTTATTAAAGTTATGAGTACTTTTATAGCATGTAATACAACATTTTGCGCTACTGTAATTAAACATAATTAGGACTGTTGTTGCAGACTCTTTTGAAGTGAGTTTACACAGCTGCCTTTTTCAGTGAAGATATGGATTGCAGTGTCCATACAACATTAAACTGTCCATTACTTTTTTGTTGTTGCTGTTCCAGCCCTCCAGATATTTTGGTGTATAACTCCCATCAGCCCTTGACAGTGTAGGCAATGCTGAGCAATCATGGGAGTTGTAGGCCAAAACTTTTGGAGTTCCCAAGTTCCCCACTCATTCTGAAGTAAGACCTTGGTCTCAGCAATCATTTCCAAGAACATAGCTGCAGAAAAGCAAATTTGGCTTTTAAAGCCTTTTCCAGTGTATGTAATACTGTATCTTAAGTGAATTTGTTTAGTGCATTGTTCAGTTTACTTCCTTTTAGACTCTTGGGGAAAAAAAGAAATGAATTTTTATACAGTTCTTAATTGATATTATCATGTATCAACAGATATATATGGCAGTGTTTTGGTTGTGCTGTAAACTTAACCTGAAAGCAAGTCTCACTGCACTAAAAAGGGTAATTTTCTGAGTAGAAATACATAGGATTGTACTGTTAATGCCAGAGAAGTGGGCCACAGCGGTTGGAAAAGGCTGTTTCACATAGTGGCTTGAAATAGCAACTAATATCCTTGACTCACCTGAGCTGCTGCATTGTGCCTGTACTACTTTAGCTTCTACAAGGATACTTTTAATATTTGATAGACTTGATCACTTTATTTATTTAAAAAAATCACTTCTTCTCCTTTGTGACTTGGAATATTCCTGTACTCTCCATCAAGCTTGTAGATGCTGGTGTACGATAAGTGTTTTAGCTACATGTCAAGTGGAGAAACACAGTTTCACTTCTCTGTATTTTTATTTGTGTAGATGGTGAAGAAAACTAAAACCATGATGAAGAAAGCTCAGAGGAAGATGAATCGATTGGGCAAGAAAGGTGAGGCAGATAGGCATGTCTTTGACCTTAAGCCCAAACATCTGTTTTCTGGCAAAAGAAAATCTGGCACAACCCAGCGGAGATGAATGGCTGTAAGAGGACAATAAAGGAATGTCTTTTTAACTAAAGCAAATTAAATCTATATATAACAACTTGCAGAAAATTCTGATTTTTTTAAAAATGTGCTACTAATTAGCAAATCTCAAAACTGTGGTGTTACTTTATACTCTGCATTAAATGTTTTGAGGCTTGCCAAAGGCATTCTGATATCCAAATTTCCCTTTTAACTGCATCCCTTAATCATATATGGGAGCACCCATGCTTGATAATTAGTTATCTGAGCTGCATAGCTGCATCTCTGATTAATTATCAATTGGGATTAATGGCTTTCAGGGTCATTTGAAAGCCTTAGGGTGCAATTCCTGTGCAAGTTTAGACAAGAAAACACTTACAACTCACAACATGCCCCAGCCAAGATAGGAGTTGGCTTTTTATCTGTGTAAACTTGCTTGAGAATTTGCCTTTAGAAGATCTGGATGGAGGTTTGTGGATGCCATATACTCAGTGTTCCTCCTCAGCATTAATCCAGTCAAGATTTCAAGGCAGTCCAGACACTTTTGATGTCCCAGTTACCATCCAGCCCAGCAGGCATGGCTAGCAGTGAGACAAAAGGACTTCCTAATTCAGAATACCTCCAGCACATCACATTGCCAGCCATGTCTGTGGGCCACGTTAATTGCTAAATGAAATGAGGCCTTATAGGTGACATCTAGATGCTTCTAGATCTTTGAACTACTGTATTTCTTTTCCCCATGCACACCAGAAACTCAAGACACCTTAGTTTCTGAAGGAATTTGCCGTGTAGCAACAGGGGGCTGCTGTTAGGTACCTTTATGCATCTAGGTTTTTTTGATTGTAGGGCCCTATCTGTGTCTCCCATTCTGGAAGGTAGAGTGCAACTTTATATCATTTTGTTTGCACAATCATTATTGCTTCTGTAATCTTGCCAGACATCCAACAGGAGGGATGTCAAGAATGATTGGGTGAGCTTGACGCAAGCACGATTATAATCGGGGCTTTTCTGTTATGGCTGCCAGAATGCTTTGGTCTGTACATAGACAAAATTTGGGAAATGCTTAGCATAGCGTCCTGGACATTCTAACTGTGTGCAGTTTACATCTAGTGTTTGAGTCAAACATGTTATGGTAACTTCCTGCTTTGAACTGCGATCGTTTCTTGACACTGCATTGGATTCACTGTAGCCACATGGTGATGAACCGGACAACAGATTCCAGTCTACATTCTACTTCACATCAAGTGGGTATTCTTAACTCTTGGTTGAAACATACTCTAGGGTAATTCCTAGCATGATTAATGGCATGATTTCAGTGCAGACCACACTGAAATCCAAGGGGCATGCCTTAGGCTCGCGGTGGTGCTGAGGCTCTCCAGATGTTGTTGAACTGCAACCACCCTTGGCCCCAGGCAGCATGGCCAGTGTTGATGGATGGGGGCAGTTACAACCCAGTAACATGGAGGACAACTTGTTGCCCATCCTTACCCCTTTAGACGTTACTCTCCCAAGTTCATGGACCCAAAAGGGCACAATCCAGTCAGGATGCTTGTAACCCTGCAAACTTGGATGATGGGCATCCTACTTAGAGCAGAAGGAATGCAGAGGTCACGGTTGAATCCGCACTTTTCCTGCCCTGCAAAACACTGGTTAGATGGGTCATTTCAGCATCTAAGTGTCCCAACCTGGAATGTGATAGATGGAGGTTGAGGTACTATGGGGAGGAGAAAGCATGGCACAAAGCATCATCCCTTTCTGTTCCATGGAACGTCCACAGAGACTATTCTGAGGTTGTGTTTGCAACCTTGGAGAAGCAGACAGCATGGCTCTTTTTATATTGGCTGTGAAGGCAGTAAGGAAGCACTAGAATCCCATCTCTGACCTCTGAGTGAGCTTGAAAGCACAACTGACAGTATTGAAAACTAAATGGAACTGTTTTACTTTTTATTCATTTAGTGTAAGATTTTCCCCATTAATACAATCAAACTTTTCAGGAATCATGATAGTTTAATTAACTAGAAATACACTAACAGCCTTTTTGAGATGACTGTAGAATATATGGTGTATGCTTTTCCTCCAGTCTTGTTGAATACCTAATTTCAAGGTACTATGAAGAACTCTCACTAGGCTGTTGTTATTGTCAAAAGATTTGTTCATTTTTACAGCATGTCAATTCATGTAAGAAGGCACATTTGGAGCCTACTCAGGTACAAATTCAAACATTTCTAATTTTGAAATATCTCATTTATCTTTTTAATACATAACTTCCAAATAATTAGGAACTAGAGAAAGCTATTCATGATTTAATACCACATTTCTATAGTAACTCAGGTACATTAAACCGTTAAGCTATTCCAGCAGATGCAAAATAAATGAATGCAATATGCTAACTTTGGGAGCAGCAGATAGCATGAACTGCTACTTCATTTTCCCAACAAAATTTTATAAAGGAATAAAATATGAAAAATGTAGCCTAGAAGACCTGAATAAAAAAAATCCAGGCACTCTTTCACAAGCATCTGTACCTGATGGGATTTCTGAATGTGAACAGGTGAGCCCTTCTCTATGCCACAAACAATCCACTTTTTGTAAGGGATGAAGTTTCTGACTGAGGTGGAACATGTCATCTTAACTCATCGCCTAGTAAATGTTTGGCTATCGCTTTCTAAGTGGTTACATCAACAAATGCAAACATGTTGATAGGTTGTTAGTAATCCAACTAGTATGTCTAGGAAACGAAAAGCAGAAAAGTTCAAGCCTTAGCATAAACCATCCAAGACATGCCAGATACGTAAGCAGATTCTCTTCATCACTGGAGACCTCCTCCTATTTCAAACCCTATAAATGTTGCAGTCCTATAAATAGTGCTTCACATGTGCCATTTATCAGTATTAAAAATGTAGCTACTGCCATTTAAGGTCAGCATATAATGCTAGCACATTCTGTGTATCTTATGATCAACAAATTTCTTCAAACTATTCAAGTTATCCCACCACTTGAAGAGAAAAGTCTCTGCAATCAATTTAAACCATGGAGTAATCTTGATTTCATTTCGGGATGCCTTTTTGAGGAGTTCTCTCAGTTCTTCTTGTGTCACGTAACAGCAGCTTTTAATTTCATTGGGATCCGGATTCAGTGTTACATTCTTTTGGACAAAAAGGATATAATCTATTTCGTGTTCTCCCCAGGTCCCATTCGACTGGGCTTTGTAGTGAATTCGGGTTAAGTAAAAGATGTCTTCTGGAGTTACCTACAACCAAAACCTTTAGTAAGAAAACTGGTAATAAGAAAGTGTTCCAGTTTTATGGCTTTTTGATGGAATTCTCCCCCTCAGCCCCTCCCGCCACACACGAGAAACCACTCCTCAAAAGAGCTTTAAGCTTCAGTTATAACATCTAGTGTACAAGTGGGAGAGAGCTATGGCATTCACTTTTTGTTTTAATGTTTTGATTTGTAATAGCACTTTTCTATAATTGGTAGCTTGGACTGAACAAAAATCACACACATGACTCTCTCCCTCTTCCTGTACCCTGCAAATGCTTCTGGGATTCTGGTACTGTCTGGAATATGTGCAGTGAAGAGGTGGGGCGTTGTACCCAGGAGTCTCAGGGTTCAAGTTAGTATTTTCTTGAACATCTGAGTGGATTTAATGATGACAGAACCAATGTCCTAGAAGAGAGTTATTTCAGATATTGTTTGCCTCTTGGCTCTCTAGTTATGCAGACATGGCTAAGGCCTTTTGTCTGCTGCTGAGAAGGAAGTGAGGATGGAGGGGTATACTAGCCCAGACTTGGATTTGGCCATGAAAAGCAAGCATGCTGCAGAGAAAATGGGGTTCCTATAAAAGGGAAACATACAGAATAAAGTGATTATTCTGTACCGGCACCATTTGGTATGTCTTGGCAAATCCCAAAGGAATAGGATTACTGTGAAAAACCAAATTAGAGAAAACTCTCAGATCTCTAGCTGCTCAGGCTTACAGAAAACTGATGCTGGCAGTCAAGGATTTTGAAATTGCTTTCCTGTGGGGAAAATGATACCCTTCAACAGAAGTCCACCACAAGAGGCAAGTATTCCTTTGCAGTCTAAAACTGTTCTATATACAAAAGGTTTTATTATCATCCCTGGACAATTCTGTTAGATTTGTAAACATGAATGTCTCAATTAACTGCAATCAATTTTTATGATAAAAGACTGAACCTAAGAACAAGTGGTTCTGGATAATATGTAAAGTTTTTCTTTTGCACTGTCCTGAAACACAAGTCAAAAGTTCCTGTCAGGCACCAAAATTGTCTTGTTGACTAGGAAAAAAATTGTTAGAATGGTGTTGAAGATACTCTATTATAATTCTCCTCTGTTCTAAGCTTTTGGGAATAGGGCAGAGTTAGAGTTTCAAAATAAGTAGTGTAACTCTGATTAGCAATTACAAAAATAATGCAAAGCTGTTCAGCTACCTCTCCCCAGAGGAGTCATTAGTTCAAGAATTACCTGTTCCAGTGGAATTCCTAACTCTGCCTTCAGTCGTCTCTGTGCCGCTCTTCGAACGCCAATTGCATTGTTTTCTTCCAGTTCGAGTGGGGTGCTTAGAGGATGACTACAACATGTATTGGTAAAACAGTCTGTAAAAAAGATTTTGTGGGTTTAGTTTTAAGACTACAGAATTTCAGATGACAGAACATTTGAAGTGCCCTATCTCAGGAATAGGCTTGGCTGCAATACTGCATATCCATGTTGGCTTCATCAGAAATACGAATACTCTGACAAAGCACAATCTGCCTATACAAGGATTCCAAGCAATAGAACCTATCAGAGTATGATGAAGGGTATGTAAACAGTATTTGTAACTGGGTACCCAAATTATACTGGTTTTAAAAAACAAGCTTACGAGGCTAGACAGGGAAATAATAGTCACTATTTAAATTATGACTCCTCCTATTCCAATATATACTTGTTGACAAATCAGAAATATGCTGGACTAGACCAAACAACATTTGCCATGATACAAATAGTCTTTTAGAGATCCTTTCAGTCAGAAAATTGGTGTCCATTTCTCACCCTTTTTCTATCACTGAACAAATACGTCTTAGATGTTGCCACAAGACCACACCAGGGAAAGCTTTCAGAGGAATAAATATTGCTGCTACTAGGGCATTTACTCATTTAAAAAAAGCATTTAAGGTACATGTCTACTCAACAAGAGGACAACTTCAACTTTTCCTGAAATTAAACCATTCTGTTTAATGGGGAATGTATTTGGGGAACACAAAGGTGCAAGGGATGTATGCTATGCAACAAGAAGTCAAAGCCATTGCTAAAAAAACAAACCTGGGAAAGTGATTTTGGCATCTGATCTCTGTTGCAACAGCAGTTTGTTCTCCGTGTTGAATAAGAATACACTGAATGCACGATGCAGCAATCCTAGCACACACACAGATAACCAAAACCTTTGTTAAAAAGATGGTACTCTAAGGAGAAAAGTAAATTTTATTCATATTTCAGTTCACATCAATTTCAATCCAAGGAAGCAAGCCTCAAACTTATTTAAAGCATAACTATGTGTTTCTTTTAAGCTGCTGTCTGTCTTGTAAGGAAGAATTGACAGGTGTATACATTCAAGGAGAGTATTTACTTGGATAACTGCTTACAACTTCCTTTGCAGAGTTTTGTAGGCGTAAGCCATACTTAAGATGTGCACAGAGCAAGAAGAAATGGGCAAAGTAAAATGCATTAATATAAAATATGACTTCTGAAAATTTTCATTTACTTTCCTGTTTCTTGGGCAAAGATCTGTAAGCAAGGAAGGGGAAAGCTAAAGTTTTCATTAAACCAGGCACAGGCATGAAATCCCATGCTATGTAGTAGATGTTCTTTCGCTTAGACAAGGTGTTCAAGTCTAGATCTTCCAGCAGATGATCCTACTGTATTTTCTTCTCCTTCACATGATCCAGTAAGAGTTCTGTGCTCATGCTATCTTGTTCACTGGAATAACACACCTAAAGCTGTGGGTTTCTAAGGGCCTAGTTGGGACAATGAGTTCATGTCAAAGCTAGATACATGTTTAGCTGTGAAATCTCAGACATTCACCTAGAACAGCGTAAGAGTAAGAAATGCATCCTTTTCCAAGTTGCTGCCTCTGATCTTGCACAAGGATACACATATCCACTGCACCAAAAATGATGTTTTGACTATGGAGGGAAGAATGTATATCTTGCCTCGAGACAAGCCCCTTCCTCCTCTGCTTTAGTCTGGAAGCAGTAGCAGAAGAGTAATGATTAAGTGGTACCTCCCTTACTGCCTCCCATTTTTTAACTTAGTGTCATTCAGAACTATAAAAAGCTGAATGGACTGGCACAGCAGAGAAAGAATGGACAATGCAGTGACCCTCTGATGTCCAGCAACTAGAAAAGTTAGCCAGTAACTAGAAAAGTTAGCCAATTGAGTTGTTTTTCAGTCTTCATTAAATTCTCTCTTGTACACAAATTTACAAAGCAGGACTGTTGAATCACATTCCTTTTGCTTTCCCATTCCATTTCTTCAAGTTCTTTTTTCCTAGATGCATCTCGCTGCAAAACTAGGCTGCAAATACTAGGAGTAAGGATTGATTCTACATGGTCGGCCCAACCAGAAGTCCTCAAACAGAATTGGGGTATTCAGGCAGAACTTTTATATGAAGTCGTTAGAAAAATAATTTTAAAAAATACCTTTGTCAATGTTTTCATTCAAGTGGCAGTTTTTCTTTGTCTCTGAACCAATTTCGTTGTCATTTTCATCAATAAGGATGCACATCTCTGACAGCAATTGTACCTGTTGCTCATCCAGATCATTTGTGTTTATCTCAGGCATCGTTGCAGTATTGATTTTCCTAATGAAAAAACTGATGAAAGAGCCTGATCACTCCCTCAAAACAACACTCTCAATTACTGCGGCCTGATGATGTGGACAAGGTGCTTGGACGAGTACGTTCCACCACTTGCCTATTGCACCCTTGCTCATTTTGGCTAATTAACGCCAAGCACGGGACAGGGACCGGGATCTTGGAAGTGGTTAACGCTTCTCTGAGGGAGGGCTGGGTACCTGCCCCTTTAAAGGAGGCAGTAGTCCGACCAGTCCTGAAGAAGGCGTCACTGGATCCAGAGATGGCCACTAATTATAGACCAGTGGCCAACATCCCGTTTTTGGGCAAGGTGTTGGAGTGGGTGGTGGCAGGACAACTCCAAGCATTCTTGGATGAAACTGATTATCTGGACACATTTCAGTCCGACTTCAGATCCGGGTACGGTACTGAATCTGCCTTGGTTGCCCTGTACGATGACCTGTACAGGGAGGAGGACAGGGGGAGTGCGTCCCTGTTGCTTCCTCTGGACCTCTTAGCGGCTTTCGATACCATCGACCATGGTATCCTGGATAGGCTAGCGAGATTGGGAGTTGGAGGCACTGCTTTGCAGTGGTTCCGCTCCTATCTCAATGGCCGATTCCAGAAGGCGACACTGGGGGACTATGGCTCTGCGCCATGGCAGTTATGCCATGGAGTTCCGTAGGGGTCCATTCTGTCCCCCTTGCTATTTAACATCTACATGAAACCGCTGGGAGAGGTCATCAGGAGGTGTGGGCTGCGGAATCATCAGTACGCTGATGATACCCAGCTCTACCTCTTGATTTCTACCAATCCAGGTGAGGCAGTGGCTGTGCTGAACCGGTGCCTGGCTGAGGTAATGATTGGCTGGATGAGGGCCAATAAACTGAACAGAGGTCTTGTTGGTAGGCGGATCGGGCTTCGGGGAAAGGGATCTTGACCTAGTCCTGAATGGGGTTGCACTTCCTCTTAGGGACAAGGTCCGCAGCTTGGGAGTGCTCCTCGACCCAGAGCTTTCACTGGAAGCTCAGGTGACAGCGGTGGCGAGGAGCGCTTTCTTTCAGCTTCAGCTGATCCATCAGCTGTGTCCCTACCTGGAGAATGACTGCCTGGTGACAGTGACACACGCATTGGGTGACTTCCCAACTTGACTTCTCTAACGCGCTCTACGTGGGGCTACCCTTGAAGACGGTACGGATAATTCAATTGGTTCAAAATAGAGCTGCCAGGCTGCTGACGGGGACTGGGCGTTATGTTCAATCCAGTTCTCCGTCAGCTTCACTGGCTCCCCATTGAAGTCCGGGCCCAATTCAAGGTGTTGGTTATGACCTATAAATCCCTTAACAGCTTGGGTCCTGGTTACCTAAAGGAGCGCTTATGTAAATATGTGCCCGCCCACCCCTTGAGATCAGCGGGAGAGGCCCTTCTCCGGAAACCCTCCGTGAAAGAAATTAGGAGGGTGAGTACTTGGAGGAGGGCTTTCTCTGCGGTGGCGCCCAATCTATGGAATGCGCTCCCCATAGAGGTCCACCTGGCACCGTCGTTATTTGTTTTTCGGCGCCAGGCGAAGACCTTTTTATTTAAACACCATTTTAATTGTTAATATTTATTTATTTTATTTTTACGGCCAGGACGTCTCCAATTATATTGTTTTATATTGTTATTATTTTATTGTTGTAAGCCACCCCAAGGCTTTGGCGAATGGGGCGGCATAGAAGCTTTCTAAATAAATAAAGCAAGCAAGCAAGCAAGCAAGCAGATATTTAATGAACTGGAGCACAAGTTTGGATCTCTTCTTAAACACATTGACCATTGGATCAAATGAACAAAGCCCTTGTCAGAGGTGAAAAAGCAGCTATATAGTGTCAGCCTTCAAGGCAATTCCAGCTGAAGCACAGCTATCTTATAGCTAGATGAAGTTCATTTTATTCCTTAGTATTTTCACTTCGGTGAAAAATGGACTGCACAGTGCACAACATGCATCTACTTGCTTTGCTTTATGCTATCAACTCTCCAAGAACATACACAAACAGAAAATTGGCTGCACGTTCCACAAGGTTGTACCGACCTGTTTTAGCTTTCTCTACCAACCTTCCCAGAAGAGATACAAAATACCCACTAATGCCCTTTAGGTCCCACATATCCTCCTCCATTAACTCCCTAGCTTTGGTTGCTGGGCATGTGTTGACATCCCCCGTCCCTTTTCACCAGTCCTAACAGCCTGTACAGTAAGTGAAACTTTTACTAGCTCGGAGGAGAAGTGCTATCAAAGGCACCTCTCTCTTTCACGCAGCTGTCGGGAAACAAACGTGGCTGGTGCAAGCGAAGGCGAGCCCTTTGTTAATCACGCACGAGTGCCGCCACGACATCGTGCACCTCAGGGTCCTACCCATTCACGCACAGAGAAACACCACAATCACAGTGGGGTCCTTCAGGGCAGGGCAGTGCAGTGCGAGGGGGCCCAGGGAATCCTCATCTGGCCTCCTTTTCGCGGAGAAAGATACATTTCTAGCGTCACGATTAAAGCAAGATTCCCGGGAGAAAGAGACCGGGCGCTTCCCGCCACAAGGTGGCGATGGCCTCGGGCTCCCGCTGCTTCTTCCCACGTTCGGCCACGCAGAGAGCGCGGGCGACAGCTGCGCGGGCCCTCGGCGGCCGTCGTCCGCAGCAGCCCATCTGCCCGCGCGGCACGCAGCGCGGCCCCAGCGCCTGGGGAGGGCGCCGGCCACGGGCCGCAGGCGAGGAAAGAAGCTGCTGCCCCGAAGCGGCCCTCGAGGCGGCGGCTGCGTGAACGCGCTGCTCCGGGGGCTCCCCGGAAGCGCCTGGCCGGGCCCTGCGGGGGCGCACGGCAGGACGCGGCCAACTCCCGGGGCGGGCAGCGCGTCCCCTCTCCCGCGCCGCCCCCGCCGCTTCCCGCTCACAGCCCTGCAGCGGGGGCTTGACGGTCGCCTTCCCCTTTCCGCCCTTACCGCGCTGCGTCGCTCGGCCACGCCGGCCTTCCCCGCACGCACACGGGCGACAGCGACAAATGCGGCGGCGGCACCTGCGCGCGGCGGCGGCGTGGGCAGAGCCTTCGCCACGAGGACGCTTCTCCGACCGCCCGGCCCGCGACAGCCCCTGCAGACGACGGCGCCGATAACACCCTGCACGCCGCGCGCCACATCGCCAGGCAACACGCCCCCCTGCCCCCTGGCCAATGGCGACGGCCCCCAGCGCGCGCGTCACCGCGTGGGCCGATCGCACCACCGCGCAGGGAGCCAAGACGTCGCCATCAATCAGTCGTGGGGGGACGGCCATTGGTGGGCCTCCAAGTCCAATGGGGGGAGTCTGACGTAATAAGGGGGCGTGGCGAAAGGGAAGCTGAGGAAGAGAAGGGGAGGGGTCAAAGGGAACGGCTGCGGGGGTGAGGTGGGCCAGAATCGTAGTTATCGACGTCGCGAGCAAGAAAAGGAGGGCGGACAGTAGGAGGATACAGTGGCGAGCCAATAGGAAAAAGGGCTTGGATGGGCAGTTGGCCAACGGGGGCTTGCTCTTGTCAAGGCTTCAGGATGCGGGGGACGCGAAAGACAGTAGAGGGGGGATCCGTCTGTTGCTGCGAGCACGTGCACAAGACAAAAATTGTGCCGTCCTCTTGGTTTTAGGTCGCCATAAGAGTCGAGCCTAGAAAGGGGCATGAAACGTTGATTCAGGTGGCAGGTGCTTAAGAAGAAACGCAGAAACGTTACCTCGGTAAAAATAAAGCAACTGTAAACGGCGGAGTCAAAAGGCCTTCAAAGACATCATATTTCATTTCTGTGTAAAGATTATACTAAACTTTTTTTTGCTTTCTACCTTTCACAACAGCAGTAGGGGTTATGAAATCAGTATTTGCTGTGTTAAATTAGTACAGCAAGGGTATGATATTGTTGCACTAGTATCATTACTGGAGGTAGTGCTAGACTAGACGAGCTAGATTGTCACTTTTGCCCTAAGTGGATGCCTGTTTTTCTGCTTCTAGGGGAGAAACGCTTCCGTGGAGCTAGAACTCTGCAAGATCTACGGAGCCAGTGCTCACATCTCCTTTCTGCACAAGATGCTGAACTGGGTGGTGGTTGTGCAAATCCAGAGTGATACTCCCTTTCAGTTGGTGGCTCAAGTCTGACTTTGCACCCTGAAAAAATTACGCACCCTGAATGGTTTTGTTAAAGCTCTTCCAGGCTTTTCTGGTTTGCCAGGGATCAGTGTAGCAGCCACTAGCAGGCTTGGTGCTGTCTTTGGCAATAAAGGGATCTCTTCTGTTTCCCGACTAGGTAAGGGTTAGGCATCCTTTTCCATCTTCGTTTTACTAATGGTATACTTTTAAGTTGCTAGTTTTCAGAATGATTTAAAATGAAACAACCTGCACTTACATGGGGATTTTGGTGGCCGTCCATGAATAGAAATGAGGAGGCTCACCCCTGCTTCATTCAGGACCATGACCTGCCTCTGCACTGACCACTAACCATTCACTGTGCCTGTATCTTGCTGTGGATGAGACTTGGGGCTGGAGTCCTGTGCCAGGGACTCAACCCCACCCCTGCTTCAACCAATCAACCCCATCTCAGCACTTAGATTTAGCACTGATTCGCTGGAAACAACCACACCAGCATGGTGGGAAGAGTTTATTTACAAAAGAGAAGGGAATGGGGAAGATAAAAGGCAATAAAGGAACCACCGGTAAACTACTACAGCTACTAAGACCCAGTTCCCAAGAGTGTGCAGCACATCAGGCAGCAAAGAAAAAAATCTGCCTTACTGTACATCACCTGAGCAATGGGTCTCCCATGAGTAGAGATCCAGCAGAACTGGCCATGCAGTAAGTCTACAGGCAGATTCTTGTCTGGTGGAAGACAAAAGACCCATCCAACCCTGCATTTTATTCTCCTACTGGCAATAGGGTGATTCCTGAGAAGTAATTCTGGGATGGCCTGGCATTTTGCCTGGCCTGTTCCACATCTTCATCCCAGCCTCAGGTCAGCACATGCTAAAAGGTTGAGGCCATGAAACCCCAGGAATAAATCATTTAAAGACTGCCAAGCACCACTGGGAAACTTAAACAACATAGAATCATAAATACTAGAGTTGGAAGGGGCCACAAAGCCATCAGGTCTAACTCCTGCTATTGCAGGACACACAGTTTGAAGCATCCCAACTCAGTTGACTGTCCAGGTGCTTTTTAAATGTCTCCAGCGATGGAGAACCCACAACTTCCCCAGGTAATACTTTCCATTCCAGATAATAGTTTCCATTGTTGTAGTACTCTGATGCTGAGGAAATTCTTCCTGGTATCTAATCTAAATCTGGCTTCTTTTAACTTAAGCCCATTATTCTGTGTCCTGCACTCTGGAATGAACAAGACATCTTGTTCTTCCTCTTTGTGGCAGCCTTTCAGGTACTTGTAGAGCGCTATTATCACCTCTCAGTTTTCTCGAGGCTGAAAATGCCGAGTTCCTGCCATTTTTCCTGTTAAGTTTTTGGGATTATCTCTTTAAAATAATGCATGGCATGGAGAAAGTAGAAAGGGAGCCATTTTCCTCCCTATCTTATAACTTTCAAACCCTGGATCATCCCATGCAGTTGATTGGTGGGAGGTTTAGGACAGATCAAAGGCATCACCTCTTCATCCAGCATAAACTCCAATTCACTGCCAGAGGAAGTAGGGATGGCTACCAATCCAGGGGCTACCTCATTTACTGGGGTGACTTGCCTGCATGCACCAGTGGCTGAGGAGCTTGGGCAGGAGGAGCTCTTACACCCATCCTGCCTGAGGGGTCTTGTGGGAAGCTGGTTTGTTTATATTCCACTTTTCTCCTACTGTGGAACTCAAGTTGGCTACATGCCGTTCCCAGGTGGTCTCTCCTTCTGGCACAGGGTGGTCTCAGAGCTGCTTAGCTCCAACATGGTGAATGCCTTCTGTACCTTCATTGTGCATATGGAGTGCCGGACTGGATGGACCCCGTCTGATCCAGCATGGCTTTTCTTGTTTCCTAGGACTCTTCACACTTGCTTTTCTTTGAGAAAGCTCAGGTAGCATTCTTGGGCCTTCCAGTGCTCTGCCATCCATTACTGATCAGGTCCATGCTACTTAGCTCTGACAGTGCTGCAGTTCCAGGTGCCCCTTGGTCACTCAGGTACAGCCTTGCACAGAAGGAATGTCAGAAGGGACAGATTTCCCTACTGTTTCTTGATTGAAAGCGCCCTACTGAATCTGAAGCATTACCTTACCATAGACTGCTGCTCACTGGTGGCTATCAGGAGATTGAAATATTTATTTATTGAACTTATATTCCACATTAAAATAGTCCAAGATAGCAAGACAGTCTTCTTCAGCCTGGTTGGGACTAAAATCCACTTGGCTATGCTCTCTTCAAAATGCTTTCCAGCAGTGGCTGTTTCATCCAGTCACTATGTAATAACACAAAAGATCTAACACTACATAAGAGGGGTGGCCAAACTGAGGCCCAGGAACTGCATGTGGCTTTGAGTTTATTTTGTGGCTTATTGCTCACCATTGTGGGTGCCCACGCGGCTGTCAAACATCTGACATTCACCATATGTGAGCTGGTCTAGCCACCCCGCTATATAACATTGAGAGCGGTGTATGCTCCATCAGAACTTTTCACTGATTTGTGTTGGTCTCTGTAGCAGAGACATATACTGAGTATATACTACCACTGAAAAAGAATAAAATGCTCCATCAGGGATAAGCAACCCAGTGCCCTTCAGTTATCTAGGACCACAGCTCCCAGCCAATAGGGATTGTGTGCATTGTAGATCAAAACATCTGGAGAGCATTGGATTGCCCATCCCCTTTTGATCTCACTAAGAGATTAATCACATGAAGAGTCAGGGTGACTGCCAATGATTTCCAAGAGGATTAGCACCTCAGACTTCATAAAATTCAGAATGAGGGTGGGGTTTAGCAATTTATTTCTGCTTCTACTCCCAACCTGGCAATTATAATGATGGTGCATGATTTTAATCAAACAGACAATGTTGCAAGAATGACTGAATTAAGATTGTAAAATATTTGCAAAGTAATCCATGTCTAAATAAGGTTAACAAACATATTATAGCTATCACAATTAAATGTTTGTCTGCCATCCTATGCATATCACCCAGGGATTCTCATGTGTGACTACTGGGTGCAGTAAGGTAAAGGTAAACGTCCAGTCATGCCTGACTCTAGGCGGCGGTGCTTATCTCTGTTTCCTAGCCGAGGGAGCCAGCGTTTGTCTGCAGACAGTCTCCGTGGTCATGTGGCTGGCATGACTAAACACAGAAGTGCACAGAATGCTGTTTACCTTCCCACCGAAGTGGTACCTTTTTATCTACTCGCATTTGCATGCTTTCGAACTGCAAGGTTGGCATGAGTTGGGATGGAGCAATGGGAACTCGCCCCGTTGTGCAGATTCGAACCAGCGATATAAACTAAGTAAATAAGTTAAATTCACACGAGCTTCTGCTGACCTCTGTATGATTGACTTCCTAAATAAACACACATGGAGGACTGCATTATAAACACCGGTATGAGTTTTACCGATTAAGTGAAACAATCTGCTCAAATGTTCATACACATCAGTACACTGTATTGGCAGGGACACAGGGAGGGCTGGGACACAGGGACACAGTGCTTCAACATGTGTTGTCAGATCACACTGCATATTTGCATGGTTATGGAAATGAGACACAGTGCTTATTTCTCCTCTCAACACATGCCACCTGATTACCATAATTCTCCCTGTTGGATACAAAGCGCCATGACAGCCCAACTGCTCCTCCCACCCGCCCTCTCCAGGTTCCAATATTGTGACAACCTGCACCCAGAAAGTGTATTAGACCAATTAGACCAAGCACCCACACAAGGGAAAAATAAGCAACCATGGTTTATTTTTCCTCCATGATTGTGCAAACTCAGTGGCCTTCTCTTGGTTCTCCAACCCTAGCTTAGAAGGGTCTATGATGGAGAATGCCTTACTGAGACAGAAGCTTTCCCTTCGTACCAGTGAGACTGAAATTCACACAATGATTAGAGCTTTAAGTAGTGGGGAAAAATAGAAAGGTATACAAAACCTCAGCACTCTGAGCAGAATGTGCATCTCAGGCCCTCTGCTATTGTGCTTTCTCTGCAAAAGTCGCTCTGCCAGCAAGGCAAGACTGGGGCTTCGCTGTCTTAGGCAAGGATCAAGTCATGAGGCATCAGCAGCAGTGAAAGGAAGCAGGGCCACTCTGTTGGCTCAGTTGAGAGCCCAACTCCGCCCCAGTTGGGTTGAGGACATTGCCACTTCAAGAACTGGTGCACGTTTGCTTTAAAATATTTTATTTCTCTTCCTTCCTTTTCCCCTCCTCATCTCCTTTGTATTATTTCAGATGGCAAGCCCGATGGTTGTACTTTTTCACTGAACTGTTGACTCTGCAGCCAGAATCACTGACCCATTGATTTGGCAGACAGGGCTTGCAGAGCAGTGCAGCTGACACTTTTTCATTAGGCGGGCACTGACATCTGCCATCCCCCTCAGAGAGCTCTGCTCCTTCAGAAGTTAGCGCAATCCTCACAGTACCCAGGGACAGGATGGGGGGGAGGAATTTCCCAGCAACACTATAGAGTTCCTTGTAAAGTGAAGGATCTGGGGATGGCTTGGTCTTCAATGGGCAAAGGGGACTCATTATCTTCAGGAAGGTCTCGCAATCTGGAATACGAAAAGCGCTAGAACTGTTTTGTTCTTGACAATGGATCAACACTGCTGCCTGCAATTTTGGACTTTTCTTGGGACCATTGTTACAGAGACTTTTATGAGTATCCGCATCTCAACATTTAGCAATTTATTTTCCTCTCTAGCCACTCTGGGAACCTTTGCAGTGGACAAAAACGTTTCAAGCAAAACGACTTGTAATGGCAGGAGACAACTGTGGCACTCGGTGAGCCTTACAGTGCATTGCTTTGCAGAACTCGGTGGACAAGCTCTATTTAGGTCTTAAGGGGCTTAATCCCAGGTGAGCATACAGGATTGCTGCTTTAGTTCACAGCAGGCATGACGCCCAGCTTGTTCAGGCTCACTGAACCCATCGGGCCTCAGGGTGGCATTTGCAGACAGAAGCGGGAAGCCCATTACAAAGAAGCCCAGTAGGGCTGGAGCCATGAGCCTCTAGGTCATCTGGACTTGCAGCCCCGAAATAAACTTACACGGGCCCTGAGTATCTTTGTTCCACGGGATTCCCCTGAAATAGCTGGCTTTTTGCCCACATCTCCTGCTCCTGCTGTCCCCACGAGCCTTTCCGTCCGGGGTGTTTTCTGAGAACAAATGCCCTCCTCTCCCCTCTCTACGTTCCCTTTTACCAACAGGGTCAGACGCACAGAGCCACGGAGAGATTCGAGTCCACGTACATCGGCATATGCATTTGTCCCCCTGGACCTGTGCGAGGCCCGGGCACCGCCGCCGCCGCCGCTTGCCGACACGCCCGCCCCGCAGCCCAAGTTCCGCGCGCGGCACGTCTCGCGACGAGCCTTGTTTGGCGGTGCAGCGGGCAAGGCGCGCCTCCGCACCACGTGACGCGCGCCCACCCTCTCCCTCCCTCGGCGGCCCTCTCTATGGTGGCGGACGGGGTAGCGAGGGCAGCGGTGGCGCCGTTTCCGGCGAGGAGCGGAAGTGGGCTCGCGGTTCGGAGGGCTCGCCGTTTCGGGGCAATCCTGTCTGAGGGAGAGCGAGAGTGGCGGCGGAGGCTTTTCCCCCAAGACCCCCTCGCAACGGAGCTCTCCGCCGGTCGTGCCGTCCTCTCCGCCTGCTTCTCTCCCGCCCCGGGCGAGGGAGTCTCCTGCTTTGCCGCGCCTCCGCCTTCGAGCTTCAGAGGACTTCGGAGGTGAGCCGCGGGGCCTCCTTGCCTCTCCCACTGATTCGTCCACTCGGCCCGGGCCAGTAGATACTGTGAGCCTCCGGCGGCGGGGCTTAGGTTCTCTTGCATAGGCGGCCGGGAAGCTGTGCGGGGCGGGGAGCCAAGAAAGAGGCGTTCTCAAGCGAGGGGTGGTGAGGCTGAGGCGGGAAGAGGCTATGGCAGCCGTCCCCAAAGGAGTACAACTCCCGTAATCCCCAGTCGGCCGTGGGAGGGAAGACCGGTTTATGGGTGAGCCGATGGGGAGGAGGCTGGCCGGGGTAGCGCTGAGGCAATGAGGATGGGATAATCGTTGATACTGTGTAAGACTGTCTGACTTGCTTTTTGGCTGTGTGATGATTATGATTATTTTACAGTTATGTGTGTCGGTACTTCTAGGGTAGCGATGACTTATTGAGAACTTAACGTTTATCTGGACTTTACATGAATAAGGTAGAAACCGTGGGTGTTTGTCAAGAAGAAAATATTACCTGGATTTGACTGTGGTGTTTCAGTATATTCTATTACAAAGTAAAAGAAGCAATGTAGGATTAAGGGTACAGTGTGGAGACAGAAAAGCAGACCTATCTGGCTTCTTAGCTGACTGGGAAATGTTGGGAGTTCAAGGACTTTTTCTCTCAGGCACAGGATGACACCCTGACTGTTTTTAACTTCAATGGGGGCTTCTCATTTCCTTTCAGAATAAAAGTGAATGCAGCTGTTTGCAGCACACTGAACTGTTTATCTCTTCCCTTGCTCCAAGATGTTCTTTTTATGAACAAGATAATTAGTGTTGGGAAGCCTGCCAACTTTTTTAGTGAGTGGGATGTTTAATGAGCATCTCATCCTTGAACATAGTCTCTCTAATCAGATAATACCCCTTTCTCCATAGTTTGGGAATACTTCAGGAGGTTTTCTAAAAGCCTTACAGAACATGGTGTTTCAAACTAGAGGCAGTTAACAAGTGAAATAAAAATCACAACAAAATACTGTTTTTTTAAAAAAGGGAAAAATTACACAGGATGCAGGGCAATAATTGGATGGTAGAGCATATGTGTTGTATGCCAAATGTCTCAAATTCAGTCCCCGGCATCTCTAGGTATAGCTGGGGAATGCTTGTGTTTGAAATCGTGAAAAATTGCTGCCATTCTTTGTAGATCAGTGTTCCCCAACCTGGTATTCTCCAGATGTGTTTTCCTAAGTTCTACTCCACCCAGCCAATATGATCAATGATAGTTGAGGAAGATCGGAGTTGTAGTCCGCCACATCTAGAGGGCATCGGGTTGGAGGAGACTGGTGTAATATGGCGCAAAGTTGAATTGACAGTTGGTTTAACTTGTTTAAATCAGCTTCCTGAATTGCAGAGAATATGCAGCTTCAGGTAACATCCAAGCTTTGATTATGAAGAAATAACTATTCTAATAGCTTGGAGACCTTACCTCTAATATTTAGACTAAATTGGCAAGATTAAAAAAAGTTTTATTTAGGAGGAAAACCTTGGGCAGTACATCTGTAATATGAACTGTTTCATCAGTTGGTTAACTGAAACTTGGTTGTATAAGTATGTGGTTTTAATATTCAGGTAGTTTCAGTGTCTCTTGATTAAGGTGGCAAGTTATGGCTTATTTCCTAGTTACATAAATGGCAATACTAAAATTGCTAAGTTGGAGGGTTTTGGTCATGTATCTGATTTTTTTCTACCCTCTTTAAGCTGGGAGCTTCCTTAATGAGTACTGCTGACCATTATTTAATTGGCATCATGTACCAATTATGATGTATCTGGCTACTCTATTAAGCGAAGTTAATACTCAAGTTAATATATGTTGTTAAAATATTGAGCTGTTTATTTATTGATTGGTTGTTGGCATTAAGTAGCCAGCAGATTTAAGGGATGATGAATAATACAAGCATGTATCCTTATCACTCAGTGATAGAGCTCTGTACTCATTTTTAATAGTTACCACACATACAATGAAATATTTTCTAAATCACTTGACTGCATAATGTTTATATTTTACTTATGTATTTTAGGTATTGCAGTGAAAATTAAAAGGCTTTTATAGCTATGAAAGAATTACATGATTGCAATTATTAATTGTAGCTACATAACAGCAAGCAAAAACCCACTGTAGAAAATCGGTAGCTGGAAAGAATAATATAGCTTGCCTGGACACATTAGTTGTGGATCTAGAGAACTTGCTTCATATTGCGCATTGGCAATAGCTCATCTGTCAGGCCTCCTTTCCTCTCCATGGTCATTTGCTTCCTATTCTGTACAAGAAATTTAAACATAGAAATCTGTGTTTAAAAAGCAGGCTGCACTGTGGTAGATATGTTGGAAAAACTGTCCATGGAGCTCAAGCTTTGTCATGTTTGAGTTCCATGGGGTTCAGACTGAATTCTGGGGATACACCCAGCTTTATTTGCCACCATTTTCCAGCAGCTGGTATAGGAAGGCACAGTTCATCAGTACTTGGCACTGACTGAGATCTTTAATACTGATGGCAAGTGTGATGCATCTTTCAGTCTTTCCACATCGCTTCCTATTTCAGTCTGCTTGCTTGATTTTTTCCTGGCTCAGTGCCTCAATTTCTTACTGGATCATACCAGACCTGAATTTTCTGCTGCTTGTATACTTTACATATTTGTTGGCTCTTTAATTTTGCCAACTATTTGACCCCAGCTTTGCATTAATGTTCTTGACTATGAACATTTTATATCTTTGTGTCGATGCTGACCTATCCTGCCCATTTTTAATTCTGATTCACCAAATTTTATTGATGGCCTGAATCTGTCTTCTGTGGTTCTGACACCAAGAGGAGAAACAGATCTGCTAAATGTGAAAAGGTGTCCACTTACTTCCCTGGATAGTGACCAGATTCAGACTTGCAGTCTCAATATTGCATCATCTGTTTAACCATTTACATTTTCTCTTATCAGTTCTGAAAAGGAAAAAAATAAGTGTAAAATTTGGTTCTTCATCAATGTACATGCCTCCCTCACCAAATTTATGTTCTTAACAGCCCTGTGAGGTGTGTGCAAGATCACTTTGATCTGACTTGCAAGTCACATACTCATTTTGCTGCCTTTAATGAACAACCCTGGAATGTTAACAACCCAACAGTAGTCCATGGTTTGTTGTTTAGTTAACTTTGGGTTGCTTAACCCCTTAACAATGCAGTGTTTCTGTGGCATTCCTGAGTTATTAAGTAAAAGTGGAAACAATAAGCATGTGACTTGCATCCCCATCTGTGCAATTCCTGGGCTAAATAAGTGGGGAAATGCCACTGTGATGTATGAACCAGGTTCCAGTGAGTTTCATGGCTGAGAGAGAGTTGACCTCAGGTCCTAACTGAACTAATTTTGGTTCAAGATGATTTGCACTGTACCATACTGTTTCATGGTGGGGGCAATATTATATCCTTGTTTAATATAAACATATGCTGTGATGCTTATTAATATTACAATAACAATTCGAGTTAGATTTAGGCACAGAAATAACCACAGCACATGTTTTTTGGTTGTAAATGAGACCCAGCTTTTAGAGATAAGTGTTATGCTTTATGTAGAAATTAAACTATTACATTTTCTGTTTGATACATAGGCATTCTGATTAATGAGCATCACTACAGAGAAGTGATAAATAGGCATTTAAATAGACATTATGTCTATTTATAAAATAGACATAATGTGCTCTTCTGTTTGAATTGCTGCCACAGTAGGAGAGTGCTGCTAAATCTATGCTAAAATCTCACCATAGTTTGTATATGTAGGAATAAAGCAAACAAAGGGGTGTGCATCATATTAATCTTGATGGTAATTGTAGTCACAACATTATATTATGCAGTTGCATTGTGTAAAGTTTCCATGGAAGGTTGGTGGCTCACCTAGAGCAGAAACCTTATCCTCTTGGTTGATGTCAAAAGCTGGAGCTGAATCCTGATCAGATGAAGGTTCTGTGGGCGGTGGCTGACTCCACTATTCTTGTTGGATTTGCTCCCCCCACCATTCAGGATATTCAGGTAGACTTCATGACTAAGTCTGACTAGTATTTTCTGGTAGCTAGAGGGGATGCTGTGGAAGGAGGGGGCAAATAAGTTTACTTCCATCGACACAGTTCATCTGGTGTAAATCTAGATCTGACCCAATGAATTATGGGAAGAAATTAAAGTTAACTGAGGGTACTCTTCTTTACTGGCATTTGAACTTTTAATCTTCTGAGAAGCCTTTCCATAGTGACCCATTTGCCAAGGACCTCTTGCAAGTTGCAGAGGATTCCTGGGTGTATTCAGTTCATATGGAGCATGGCTCACCTTCATCCCAGTTAAGGTGCAGAGTAATCAACAATATATCCCATCATCTCCTTTGATTATGCATGGACAGAGAAAGATTAGTCATGGTGATGCCTAAGCTATCATTTAGGAAAGGCTACCTATTTTGCCTGATCTTATTGAGAAACTCCAGTAAGTTTTTGAGAAACTCCTGGTTTACCTGGAACACAGTTTGGAAAGGACTACTTAACTACTTGTGCCACAGTGGTCTGTAACAGGTTTGGCCAGCCTTGCTTAACAGAAGAGTCACATATTGTAAATGTCAGATGTTGCAAGCTGCAAGTGAGTGCCTGCGGGGTGGTGGCAGCAAGCCGCAAAATAAACACAAAGAGCTGCATGCAGCTTGCGAGCCTCGGTTTGGTTCCCCTAGTTTATAAGATGACGCAAGTCTTAGTTGTTCTAAGAAAAATCTCTGAAAATCTCAATATTAATCATCTGCATTCATTTAATAGAAACATGAGGTAGATACCATTTAAAGTGCTTAACTTCTTAAATTCCTATGTTTAAAGTTTGGGTAGACAATCAAGCTGGGTTTGAGGTAGTGGAGCAGAAAGGGCTGAGATCTTGCTTCAGCAGTCCTGCTATTGCTTCCTGCTCCCCAAGTTTAAGCCATTTTAAATGAAATAAAAAGGAACTAATTTTGCCTTAGTCATTCTTTCC